ATGGCACGTACCGGTCGTTACTTTGATTTGTTTTTTTGTTCAACGCCGCCCTCAGTAATATTCAAGCCGCATGACGGCGGTCTTTAAATAATCTCGACCACTCAATCCAGTGAATGACATCACGAGCAGACAGATCCTAACCCGGGTGGGTCATTACAGACCAAGTTCATTGTAAACTAGGCTAATGCCCTGAAATATATTGGAAGTGGACTTTTCGATTCTTCGTCGACTCTTGTAGTTTGTTATAAAGGTACGGCGCACATCGCAATTATATTTTTAGTTGATGTCATCAACGAACCCCATGACAGATATAATCCTCGGCGTTAAATAAATGATATTATTCCACACAATCAGACTGCCTGATAATTCAGACCATTAATCCATTATTTCCATAGTTATGTTCAATAACTGAACTCTTTGACAACTGCTTTTGTAATTATCATGTGATAAATAATTTCGGTTCAAGTCATTAACCAGAAGCCGCCATTTTGGCGAGGTATGACTGCTGAAAAGCCAACTTCTCGCTCAGCGATATTATGCTCTTTGTCAGAGCTTGCATAGATGCGAAGGATTGTGATGGTGTTTCGCCGAGGTAATGAAATCACAGTATTTGTTGTCGATATGCGAGTCACTTCAGCCGTCTCTTAGTGTTGATAGATTTCAGATTAACTAGATCGATGGGCTGTTCTTTGCTGTCAATGAAGCGGCGAGGGAACAAACTGCTGAATGGATCACGCTTGTGTCAGAATGTCGCTCAGTCAAACATCAGTTGGTTTCATTTCTCTGTGTTTCCCTGCATTCCTTTACAGTTCAGGGAGCACTGTCCATTTTATGGATTCAATCTCGTTCCACGTCATCATGCACGTTGACGAGATCGTCAGAATTAATTATTTTGGACAATGTGTTTCTGAAACATTCTTGTCGTTGTCAATGAATTTTCTGACCTGTATGGCCAGATATTACAAGTCTTACCGAAACGCATCATGGAGTCTATGTAAGTCCCACTGCTAATACAAAGATATGATTCCTCCCAATAGTCCATATTGAATCTGGTGCTGATATTGTAACGACCGTCACAAGGTCTGCCTGAATGTAAAGAATATTGTGAGCGTTTCTGTAACCCTTTGTGTCCAAACCATTTACCTTCAAGTACACCAAATATATCTTTTGATAATGAATTTTGTCAAGAGTACTGAACCTGTAAACACCAACAAGTTTCTACCAGGGCTGTTGAACATGTTGAAGGTATTGACCCTGAGAAAAGTCAAATCAAATGACTACTTGTAATGTTTTTGTGTTCAATAATTTACCTGTATACTTAGGCCATGAGCATCATGACTTCAATCAAGTCTCAGTCAAGATCCAGCTTAGAATTGGTCTTCAACAATCCATGCTTGTTGGAAGGACTGGAATTGGGTGGTCAGGCTCACTAAATAGGTTGATGCATGTCATCCGATTCCAAATGTGTATATCCATGCTTATGATGTTAATAACTGGATTATCTGGTCCAGAGTCAATTTTTTACTGACCATTGTCATATAGCTGGATATATTGCTGAGAATGATGTTAAACAACCGGCAAACAAACAATCAAGTTGTTAATCTCAAACAACCTAGTCAAGATGATTAGTTTATTTGTAAGGTGCAATCATCTTTGATTTTTAATTTGACACAATAATACTTTCACCACTAAACCCCAGGGATCCGGGTAGGAATATGCGTCCCCAGCAACCTGATTGTAAAAGAGGATCCAACTAAGTGGATCCGGCGGTCAGGATTTAGGCTTGGGTGATTGCATGTCATCTTATCCAAACTTAACCGTGATGATCCGGGGTAGAATAGGTCTTAAGCAACCCATGCTTGCCATAAAACATGACTATGCTTGTCGTAAGAGGCAACTAACGTGATCGGGTGGTCAGGCTTGCTGATTTGGTTGATGCATGTCATCGTATCCCAATTGGATAGATCGATGCTCATGATGTAAATCACTGGATTGTCTGGTCCAAACTCGATTGTTTACAGACCGCCATCATATAGCTGAAATATTGCTGAGTGTGGATTTAAACAACAAACAAACAAGGATGTGGTGGTCGGGATGGTGGCTTGGTTCATTGCATGTCATCTTATCCCAACTGCGTAGAAGGATGCTCATTATGTCAATCACTGGATTGTCAGGCCCAGACTCGACTTTTTAGAGATGGTGGTCAGATAGCTGGAATATTGCTTAGTGCAGTGCTAATCAACAAACAAACAAAAAAGTGATTGCTGCAAGGTCTGCAAGTTGCATCTGGTGCTGGTTGTTAAACAAAAAGACATCAACATTACTTTAGATAGCAACTTGTTCATTGTCAGTGTCATAAATACAATTAGATTGTGAGATAAACAGTGCACATGGTGTATAGCATTAACTTCCCAGTGTTGTTTTCCAGCATATTGCACATGTCCTTAAGAGTTTTTGTAATTTATTGTGCTATAAGAATGTCTTGATTACACTGCTGCTGACCTTCTTGGCCACAAAGAAATAAATCTGGCTTTTTTTCTGATTTGAGATTATGAAAACATGAGACAAGTAATTACCTCTGTGTTAAATGTAGTTGCTTGAATTAACAAGATGAAAGACATGGTAATATCACTTTGGTCATAAACAGATTTTAATCAGGTTACATGCTTTTGGTTTTATTGCTGCGATGATGAATTTTATATCCATCCGAGTTTTATGTACCCAGTTCCTGTCGTTTGGTTTTCTTACCAAATTCTTATTATTGATATTAATTTTGTATTGCTTCAACTATATTATATTCACGTTCAGACATTTAAGCGATAAAAAAATTAATTTTTGCAAAAGAATTTTAACTTCTGTACTTCTTTTTATGATATGCCATTTATACTGCGCTTTTTCGACACCACTCAGGGGCATGCTCAAAGCGCTATTTTTACTCCGTTCACTGGATCAGTGTGCACTCAAGAATCATTCTCAGCTCCCTGGGGAGTATACAACCTAAGTTTTTTTCGACATTTGCTTTGACATTTTGTTACATTTAAAGTCAGAGCCATACAGTGGGTTCTGCTTTTAGCAAACCTTTTTTATGATTATGGAATAGGTGTTGTCGCTTTCATCTACAGATAATGAAATAAGGTTTATCATACAAGACATTTCTTTGTATGTGTTACGACCACCACTTTTAACAGATATCATATTTTTTTCACAACACATTTAGCCTTACAACAACTTACGAACTGCACAGAAAACAAATGTTATTCAAAGAAACATGTGCCCTTTATCAGCTAGTGTAGAAATCATGAGGCATGTTCTGATTCTAACAATAGAAATCTCCAACAGACTAAACATGCATCGTATAGTTTATATTCAGTTTTCCCAGTCTCCTAATGACATGTACGGAAAGAACTCTTTTGTGGCTTTTCTTGCATCGTCAATGTTCTTTTCGTCCCAGAAACTATGAACTTGACAACAGAGTGTTGTTATCACGGTTCCATCCCTAAACAACATTATTACCCCCCACTCTGATTTCCTTGTGTAAGACAACTTCAAAGCTGGCCAAAAGTTCAGCATTACAGAACTAAATGTCCTGTGTAGAAGATGGATGTTCCACAATATTTATGAAGCTTTGATTCCCGAATGCTACAACAATATACAGAGCTTCACGTGGGTTCCTCAGACATGCGTTCCTTGTACTTACGTTCCTCGTACCTACGTTCCTTGTACATGCATTCCTTGTACATGCAGGCTTGTCTCAGTAAATATAAAACATCACTGCCAGGGAGTAATCAGTCCTGATTATCTGCCGAAAATATATTCCATTGGGCGTAAAAGATGCTAAATGATGAAAATTATATGAATGGATCACTGAAATGCAGGCAAGGGTAAGCCTGCCTGCTCTACCAGTAAAACATGTTCCTTGTCTCTGATGTATTAACCCACAAGTTTTACATTGAAAACAGTTAGTGCAACAAATTAATTATTTGTGCCTCAGAGTGACCAAATTCTCTTTGCTTCCTCCAAAAGATTTCACCAATGAAACATATTCCAAATTTTGGAGGTTGCACATTATACACAAGAAAATATGGTACAGTGACACCCTGTTTATCCAGACTATGCTGTTCCCACTGAGTGAGTGAGTATGGTTTTACACCGCTTTTAGCAATATTCCAGCAATATCACGGCGGGGGACACCAGAAATGGGCTTCAGACATTGTACCCATGTCGGGAATCGAACCCGGGTCTTCGGCGTGACGAGCAAACGCTTTAACCACTAGGCTACCCAACCGCCCACTGTTCCCACTGATGTTTGTTTGTTTGTTGTTAAACGCCGCACTCAGCAATATTCCAGCTATATGACGGCAGTCTGTAAATAATCGAGCCTGGACAAGACAATCCAGTGATTGATATCATGAGCATCGATCCATGCAATTGGGATACGATGACATGCATCAACTAAGTCAGCGAGCCTGTGATGTCTGTATTAACAAATCGTTGTCAAAGAGTAATAATACTCTTTTTTTACATATTATATATATATATCCTTGTGAGGATGTTAGAATTGGTCCCCATCACCCTATGCTGGTTGTAAGAGGTGATGATCAGGTGGTCTACAAGGTGACTTGGTTGATTGTATGTCATTGCACCCCAATGGCGTGGGTCGTTGCTCACGATGCCAATCACTGGATTGTCCAAACTCGTTTATTTATTGGCCGCCGTCATGTAGCTAGAATATTGCTGAGTGCAGCGTTAAACAAAAATACACACAAGCATATAATATATGCTCCAACCATATCTTCCAGACGGCAGTGTCTCCACGGAGACTCTGCCGGGTTTCCAGACTTATATGGTTTCACTATGACATTGTTACTGTCGCCTGAGTTTGAAAGTATTGCTATGGTTACACCAATGTTCAACTTCTAATTTGTGTTTGATGTCTCTGTATCATGTATCTGTGATTTTGTGACACGTCTCTATATTCTATCTGTGATTCTGTGTTTCAGGCGCCTGGACCGGAACCTGCTTGTGTCTACCCCGGATAACCTGTTTGCAAACATGCCCAACCTCCTGAGGCTGTGAGTACAGACACTTCTACCATAGAGCTCAACATTGTGTGTGTCGTTTCAATACATTATCCAGATCACATCAAGTCTAATCCGTAGAAAAATTCAAAAACCAATGTTGCAGCTTCAGCGAATTTGGAGGTTGCAAGCATCTTCCAACACTAGAAGTCCAATGTTCATGCAATTAACGTGAAGTCCATCAGTATATCCAAGTGTCAAACAACTAACCTTTGAAATGCCTGCTAGCCCGCTAGCCAGAGACAACTAAATTGTGCTGAGGTCACAATGATGGTACTCCTCATTGACTAGACTAAGTGGAGGGGCGGTCAGGTAGCCTAGTGGTTAAAGCGTTCGCTCGTCACGCCGAAGACCCGGGTTCGAATCCCGACATGGGTACAATGTGTGAAGCCCATTTCTGGTTTCTTATGTTCATTACCCAGAAGCGGGCACGGTTTGCCCAGTCGTCTAAGGTGCTGTGATTCGCTGTGCAGAGTTGCGTCCCTTTGGCACGCCAGAAACCTATGATTGTGGGTTCGAATCCTGCTTCGCCCCGATTATGTTTCTAGGTTTGTCAGCACCATACCCATTCTCGTGGGTTTCACCGAAGTGGTAAACGTCTGAGATCTGCATCACTTGGCGCTTTCCTCCCACATTAAGCTGACACGCCGCGATATAACTGGAATACTGTTAAAAGCGGCGTTAAACCCAACTCACTCACTCACTCATTACCCAGAAAACTGAGGAAAAATATAATGTAATAGCACAGTCTTCTCCACTGGAACACTTTTTTGTCTTTAATTAATAATTTTGATGGTTGTTTAAATATTTAAAGACATTCTGTAATTGTGTTGGTAAATATTGAATACACACAACAATATTGAGCATTATGTCAGATCATTAATATGACATACTTTTTTCCAGATTATTGTATTGTGGGATTATTTGGGCACACATGACAAATATAGCCTTGTTCTACTGGTACAGCAGTGCCTTGTAAAGAAAGCCAGTCATTATTTGGATATGGCTTCAAGCCACCAGACCATATTGAAAAATGCTTCACAAATATGTTCTACTCAAACACAAAATATTTATGAACAAACCGAGTATTGTAAAGAACAGTCTCTTACCCTCCCACCAACTGACTATCATTCAGTGAAATCCTTAGCGCACACTCATATACTTATGTATATATGTATATCTTCCACGTATATACATCTTAATGGGATTTTGTTTATTTTTATACCCGATTCGGGTGAATGATAATATTTTTATCACATTTCGTAAATATGTGAAAAGTCTTCACAATTTTCATCAATCGGCTGAATACTTATTCCCATATGGTTACAGTACTACATTGTGTCCAGTAAGAATGAATTTTGTACTTGTGTTGAACAAGATCGTTTTCCCCGCCTATAATTACCTCCTTTGATATGTAACCACTCAAACCGTCAACTGAGTAGGTCATAGTATCCTCTGGGAGGAACAGTTCTAGCTTACAGTTTGAATATTGACCACTTGTAAGCCTTCCGAGCCTTCCACAGTCTTTCAAATCCTTTCAACGCGACCACCGTTTCTCACACCTTCGTTGGCCCTTTACCTCCACCAGGTGGCGCTGGTTTAGTATTCAGCTGGCATACCCTCTTCCGAGTGTCAAACTCGAAGCCTCCTCACAAAGCCATGTCTTACTGTAGAGGCCGATTAGTTTTTGTGGTTGAGAGGTTGTGAGAATTGTAAAGCTTGATACTGTTAACCAAATGGGTCAATACACTGGACAATGGGCAGTGAGAGCAAACTGTGTCGGTTGCCTAAAGAGATTACTTTCCTGAAACCAACCTATTTCTACTTTTGGATTTTTCAATATTTACAAGCGCAGATGTGAATTATCATTGATTGTTGAAAGTCTTATGTATGTCTAACTTATTTGAGAATTTCTGTCACAGTTGACTTTATACAAACCCTTAGGCCTCTCAGTGTAATCTTCTAAACATTTGGCTGTCAGGCTTCAATTAGCCAATTAGACATTTCTGGTGTTTAGATTTCCCTCAGGCATTCCTATAAGTAGCAACTTTAATAATGTGATTATATCAGTTAGACTGTAACAAAAAGGTAAATATTTTCCAGATAGGCTGGCTTTTAGGTGAATAAGAGTGGCTTAACCGTATATTAAATGAATGAGGTGTTACAAACAGCTTGAACAGAGTGTTAATTGTATGATGTACTATCAATGGGCCAGGTGTACTGCGGAAAAATGTACTCACTCCGTTGTGATATGTTTAGTTGAATGAATTCATTGAGTCAATATATCATGTTTATCTCAAGGTCATTCATGACTAGAAGGAGCCGGTTATGAATAGACCCAAATTCGAGTTGTTAGAGATACGATTTGTGGACAAAAACATAATTGTCAATGGACTTCATTGAAACTGTGTCAAGAAATATGTAACCCTATGACCGAGCTTCTCCAGTTCTTGTCCTATCTTTCCCTCAATCCTATCTACACGATGGAATATTCTGATATCTTAATCATTTACAAATCTTTTAACGCACGAGTACTCAACTTGAGCCAGGTTTAAAGCCTTCAAATGGTCCATATCTGATGGTCATTGATTTCAAGATATTCACGGCATGGGGAACAAAAATTCAGCCATGTAATGCTATTCTGTTGCAACAGAACGTTCACCCACACCTCCTCATTGTAATAGACAATACTTAGGGGTAAGGCATATTTTCTTGTGTGGTAGAAGGGACAATTTGAGCAGTATCAAGCCTGCCAAATGTGACTGTATATAACGCTTGCAATTGTATGTTTGTATCTCGTCGGGTGACACAGAAGCAGGATCAGGTAGAAATTTGTATTCAGGTCAATCCACAGGTCACTGCTATCTTGTCTTGTCTTCTCTATATCCGACTGTGTTTGTCTGCTGGCGAGTTTTGCTCAACGTTCAGCCAGGGACATCTCTGTATAATTGCAAGGAAAGGTGTTCTTGTTTAGAAGTTACATTGTCGTCTGCTGATTTTTTTTCCCTTTTGTTGCCTAGGGCCTTGTCTACCTTGTAGAATATACAAAGATTTCAGATGTGAAATTCATCGCTCACAAAAACACTTTTGGCCAGCTCTGTTTTAAAGTTAGGTGACACATGAATAAAACACAAGATTTTATCACCACTGTTCATAAAAAATGGTGAATAATGCATACAAAAATCTTTATTCTAACAGAAAGAAATTAATTATCGTTCGGTATCTTGCATGTTACAACATGTTTTGTTTTCGTTTATTAGTAGCAGTACCAATGTGGAAGTTGAAAAAAATTAATAAAATATATTTCACCCCCCTACAGTGAATTTTAGGCCCTGAAAAGTGTAACCCAATAAATAAAAAATAAAAGGCTGAATGTGAAAAATTTCAATTTTTTTTATTTGACTGCCATACAGATGTATGAAATTGTATTCTAAAATTAAAAAAATGACACATATGACTTGAGAGTCTTCCAAGGAGCTATTACAACAACTTTGTTACTGGAGACATATTCTAAGCAGGATTTCACCAATTTCGAGTCCCTTTGTCAGAGAGCTGACAGTGAAGGTGTCAAGCCTATGACTGCTATCAGCAGGCCCCGGCAAGGTAACTGATAGACTCTCAGTTCTACAAACTCCAGGTATTTGCAAACACAATGCATAATGTGTTTTAAAGCCGCTGGCTGCTTCAAGGGATTTGGGATTTCCAAGCAACACCTGAGGTTTCGGTAGGATTATACTAGCAGCTACTTGCTGCAACTGTATAAAATGTAATTATTTTGTTGTTAAAGTTAACAGCAAAGTCTGAGTGAAGGGTTTGGGAAAATAGGTGGGGGGTTCGCTGGTGTACACTGTGAAGTCAGTTGATATACTGTAACCTTCTTAATGTGGATCCCTGTAAGAAAGACCACCCCAAAACCAAGTTGATATACTGTAACCTTCTTAATGTGGACCCATGTAAGAAAGACTGCACCCCAAAACCAAGTTGATACACTTTAACCGTCTTAATATGGAGCCCTTTAAGAAAGACTGCAACCCAAAACAAAGTTGATACACTTAAACCCACTTAATGTGGACCCCTGTGAGAAAGACTGTGCACCCCAAACAGGTTTTTACGTGAGGCACAAATGTGCATCCAGTACGCACAATGTAGAGAATGGATGCAGAAAAATATATACTGCATCCCGAGTGACCTACAGTATTCATTGTACCTACAGCGTATCAAGAGCATTTATGGGTGTCTATCAATTCATCCATCAATCATGACCACTGTCCACATGATCATTCATTCATTACAAATTATCTAAACGTACAGTACAATACATATTACAGTACTTTGCAGGACCCTCATATTGACTGCAAGGACCCTTCAAATTAATCATTGGGGGTCCCCTGGACCCCCTCTTTTGTCAAGGTAAAACCCTGCCCAAAACAAGTTGATACACTGTTACCTTCTTTATGTGGATCTTGTGAGAAAGACTGTGCACCCAAAGCAAGTTGATAACCCTCTTAATGTGGAATCTGTGAGAAACACTATACATCCCGAAGAAAAATGATACACTGTAACCCTCTTATGTGGGCAACCATGGGACATTGCTCGTAACATCAATCACTTGATTGTCTGGTCGAGCCAATTTAACAGCGGATTTGATAAAGCTGGATATTTTCTGAATACAGTGTTCAATAACAAACACACATACAACACCAATTCATTTCTTCATATATTCCTCATTATAGTCATTAAACCTGGAGAAAAGTTGTCAGCGTTTGTGAGCACTACTCCTAAGAAATACTTTCCTCAGAAATTTAATTTGAAACCTGTAAACTGCAACATTGATACATGCAGATAGGAATTTCATTCAGCACTCCTTGCTAGGAAGAAATTCAACACCTTAAATCCAATAATTGCCATGAAAATATGTCAACAAAACCTATCGGCTGTAGATGAAACTGGTCGTAATGGGAAAATAAGTTAAAACACACAGGAATAATGCAATT